GGTTTGTTTCTTCCACAAATAAATTTAAAAAGCTAAAGAAAGGAGCAGAAAAGAGCCTTGAAGAAGTGTTAAGGCGAAGCAGTTTATTTTAGCTTTCATACAGTTCATTCTACACTGTAGACATGATGCAGTTTGACACCACTTTAACCCCCACGTCTCCATTCTACAGAATCCTGAGATTTGTAGTTTTCCAAGGCACTAGCCCTCTTTGGCAGAGGAGACTAAAGACCTTGCAAAAATACAAATCCCAGGATTCCAGAGGATGGAGCTACAGTACTTAAATTTCTGTCAAACACCTCCTTGGGAGTGAACTCCACAGAATAAAGCAGGGGTGCATCTTGTTGTTGTTCTTGTATGCCTTCAAGTTGTGTCCAACTTATGGCAACCCTATCATAGATTTTCTTGGGAAGTTTCTTCAGAGGGGCTTTTCCATTGCCATCCTCTGAGGCTGAGAGAATGTGACTTGCCCAAGGTTACCCAGTCGGTTTCCATAGCCAAGCCAGGATTCGAAACCTGGTCTCCAGAGTTGTAATCCACCACGCAAACTGCATGTACACTATAGAAACAATGCAGTTGGGTGTCAAAATAATGCAGTTTGGCACCAGTTTTAACTCCCATGGTTCCATCATCCTACAAGATCCTGGCATTTGTAATTTTGTGAGGCACCAGCACTCTTTGGAAGAGAAGACTAAAGACCCTGCAAAACTACAAACCAAAGGATATTATTATTCTATTATAATTATTCCAGGGTTCTATAGGATGTTATTATTATTAGTTATTTCATTTGTATGCCGCCGTTCTCCCAAGATCAGACCCAAGGCCTTTTCCAAAAAGGATGGAGTTACAAGGCTTAAAGATGAGTTAAACTGCATTATTTCTACAGTGATTCTATCATCATCATCATTATCATTATCCTCATTCTCTTCATTTACATGCTGCCTTTCTCCCAAGATGGGACCAAGGTGGTTTCCAAAAAGGATGGAATTACAAAGCTTACAGTGGTATCAAATTACATTATTCCTACAGTGATTCCATTATTAATGTTATTATCATTGGCTTCATTTGTATGCTGCCTTTCTCCCAAGATGGGACCCAAGGCAAGTTCCATAAAGGATGGAGTTACAAGGTGTCAAAATCAATTATTTCTACAGTGATTCTATTATTATTATTAACTTCATTTATACGCCACCTTTCTCACAAGGTGGCTTCTAAAAAGGATAGATTTATAACCCTTAAAGTGGTGTCAAGCTCCATTATTTCTACAGAGCACATGCACCCCTGTGATGAAAACCCAGTTTGACTTAATTTTAATTGCCATGGCTCAAAGCTACGGAATTCTGGGAATGGTAGTCTTGTGTGACATTTAGCCTTCCCTGGCTGCATCCACACGGCAGAAATTATCCGATCTGACACCGCTTTAACCGTCATGGCTCAATTCTAAGGAATTCTAGGAATGGTAGTTCATTCTGGCCCCAGAGCAGAGCTCTGGAATCCCAGAATTCCATAGCATTGAGCCATGGCAATTAAAGTGGTACCAAATCGGATCATTTCTGCCGTGCGGATGCAGCCCAGGCCAGAGAGCTCTGCCATTTCCTAGGATTCCATAGCACTGAGGCATGGCAGTTAAAGTGGTGTCAAACCGGATTATTTCTGCCGTGCGGACGCAGCCATGGGTTCCACTCCACTTCTTCGGCTGCACAAAGAAGCCCAAACCTTTCCCTTCCTGGAAGCTTCAGCCGAGCCCCCCTTTAATAATGTTCTCCTTTGGTCCTAGGCGCTCGGGGCCCCGAGGGTGCTCCAGGGCCGCCTCTAGAAGGGAATACCTGCAGCCGCTCATAGAGAGCAGCAAAGGACGCCGCCGCCATCTTCCCGCCGGAGGCTTGGCCTCGCCCTCTCCTTGCTCTTATTGGCCGCCTCAAGGGGGATAGGGAAACTCTACAAGGCGGCCTCCCCCGCCCCAAATGGGATGGGCGAGTCCGGAGGATGGATCAGGCTCGGCTATGCTCTGGATTTTCAGTTGGGCGGTACCAAGTGAGCGGGAGAGGGGTGTTCTGTGGTGGCATACTGGACTGGACTGGACTGCCTTATGTTCACTGCCAGCGCATTCAAAAAGGCGGGAGAAATCAATCCCTGGAAGGAAAAAACATTCCCGCTCATAACGTAGAGAGATCTGTAGCACCTTTGAGACTTAAGGCTGCATCCAGTCGACAGAAATAATCCGGTAACTGCCATGACTCAAGGTTGTGGAATTCAGGGCTTTGCTCTGGGGCCCCAACAAGCTGCAGTTCCCAGAATTCCACAGCCTTGAGCCATGACAGTTAAAGTGGCGTCAAACTGGGTTATTTCTGCCGTGTGGATGCAGGCTAACTGAAAGAAAGAAGTTGGCAGCATGTGTTTTCGTAAGCTTAAATCTACTTCCTCAGATTCATTTGGAAGTAGGCTCAAGTCTACGAAAGCTCATTCTACTAACTTCTTTCCTTCAGAAAGGGCCAAAACATACTGCAGAAATAATCCAGTTTGAGACCGCTTTAACTGCCCTGGCTCAGTGCTAGGGAATCCTGGGAATTATAGTTCATTGTGGCACGAGAGTTCTCTGACAGAAGGCTAAATGTCTCACAAAACTACAGTTCCCAGAATTCCCTAGCATTGAGCCAAGACAGTTAAAGCAGTGTCAAACGGATTATTTCTGCAGTGTGTTTTGGTCCTAAGTCTCAAAGGTACTACAAGATCTCTTTACATACTGATGTTACAGACACAGGTGCAAAGCACACTGCAGAAATAATCCAGTTAAGAAAAGTTAAAAGCATGACTAAAGCACACATACTCCATAAAAAACCACCCTGGTAAGTTTATATATAATATATTGTATACAGTATATGTTATATATAACATAATATCATATATAATATAAAATATTAATAGTAATATTAGTAATATATTAATACACCTGTATAGGTGAATAATGACAATGACAATAAAATAATTAATTACCCCGACATTTATTAAAACATAATAATAATAATAATAATATGTAATACCCCAACACATTCATTAAAGTACATTATTTTAATAATAATAATAATAATAATAATAATAATAATAATAATATAATTAATAAACCATACATATTCATTAAGACACACATTATTTTAATAATAATAATAATAATAATAATAATAATAACCCCACATACATTCATGAAAATGTACATTATTTTAATAATAATAATAATAATAATAATATCCCCCACAAATATTTATGATATATAATAATAATAGAATTAATAAGTCCCACACATTCATTAATAATAATAATAATAATAATAATAATAATAATAATAATAATAACCCCTACATAAATTCATGAAAACATACATTATTCTAATAATAATAATAATAATAATAATAATAATAATATAATTAATAACCCCACAAGTCATTAAAACAGATAATAATAATAATAATAACCCCACATACATTCATGAAAACATACATTATTTTAATAATAATAATAATAATATCCCCCACAAATATTCATGATATATAATAATAATAGAATTAATAAGTCCCACACATTCATTAAAACACACATAATAATAATAATAACCCCCTACATAAATTCATGAAAACATACATTATTCTAATAATAATAATAATAATAATAATAATATAATTAATAACCCCACAAGTCATTAAAACACA